GGTTTTGATTTGGATTTCCCTGATGCCGAGCGATGTTGAGCACTTTTTCATGTGTCTGTTGGCCATTTGGATGTCTTCTTTGGAGAAGTGTCTGTTCATGTCTTCTGCCCGTTTCTTAATTGGATCATTTGTTCTTTGGGTGTTGTTTGATAAGTTCTTTATAGATTTTGGATACTAGCCCTTTATCTGATATGTCATTTGCAAATATCTTTTCCCATTCTGTCTTCTGGTTTTGTTGACTGTTTCTTTTGCTGTGCAAAAGCTTTTTATCTTGATGAGGTCCCAATAGTTCATTTTTGCCCTTGCTTCCCTTGCCTTTGGCAATGTTTCTAGGAAGAAGTTGCTGTGGCTGAGGTTGAAGAGGTTGCTGCCTGTGTTCTCCTTTAGGATTTTGATGGACTCCTGTCTCATATTTAGGTCTTTCAACCATTTGGAGTCTATTTTTGTGTGTGGTGTAAGGAAATGGTCCAGTTTCATTCTTCTGCATGTGGCTGTCCAATTTTCCCAACACCATTTGTTGAAGAGACTGTCTTTTTTCCATTGGACATTCTTTCCTGCTTTGTCGAAGATTAGTTGACCATAGTGGAGGGTCCATTTCTGGGCTCTCTATTCTGTTCCATTGAGGTATGTGTCTGTTTTTGTGCCAGTACCATACTGTCTTGATGATGACAGCTTTGTAATAGAGCTTGAAGTCTGGAATTGTGATGCCACTGGCTTTGCTTTTCTTTTTCAACATTCCTCTGGCTATTCGGGGTCTTTGCTGGTTCCATACAAATTTTAGGATTATTTGTTCCATTTCTTTGAAAAAAGTGGATGGTATTTTGATAGGGATTGCATAGAATGTGTAGATTGCTCTGGGTAGCATTGACATCTTCACAATATTTGTTCTCCCAATCCATGAGCATGGAACGTTTTTCCATTTCTTTGTGTCTTCCTCAGTTTATTTCATGAGTATTTTATAGTTTTCTGAGTACAGATCCTTTGCCTCTTTGGTTAGATTTATTCCTAGGTATCTTATGGTTTTGGGTGCAATTGTAAATGGGACCAACTCCTTAATTTCTCTTTCTTCTGTCTTGTTGTTGATGTATAGGAATGCCACTGATTTCTGTGCACTGATTTTATATCCTGCCACTTTACTGAATTCCTGTATGAGTTCTAGCAGTTTTGGGGTGGAGTCTTTTGGGTTTTCCACATAAAGTATCATATCATCTGCAAAGAGTGAGAGTTTGACTTCTTCTTTGCTGATTTGGATGCCTTTTATTTCTTTTTGTTGTCTGATTGCTGTGGCTAGGACTTCTAGTACTATGTTGAATAGCAGTGGTGATAGTGGACATCCCTGCCGCATTCCTGACCTTAGGGGGAAAGCTCTCAGTTTTTCCCCATTGAGAATGATATTTGCTGTGGGTTTTTCATAGATGGCTTTTATGATATTGAGGTATGTACCCTCTATCTCTATACTCTGAAGAGTTTTGATCAAGAAAGGATGCTGTATTTTGTCAAATGCTTTTTCTGCATCTATTGAGAGGATCATATGGATCTTGTTCTTTCTTTTATTAATGTATTGTATCACATTGATTGATTTGCGGATGTTGAACCAACCTTGCGGCCCAGGGATAAATCCCCCTTGGTCGTGGTGAAGAATCCTTTTAATGTACTGTTGGATCCTATTGGCTAGTATTTTGGTGAGAATTTTTGCATCCATGTTCATCAAGGATATTGGTCTGTAATTCTCCTTTTTGATAGGGTCTTTGTCTGGTTTTGAGATCAAGGTAATGGTGGCCTCATAAAACAAGTTTGGAAACTTTCCTTCCATTTCTATTTTTTGGAAGAGTTTCAGAAGAATAGGTATTAATTCTTCTTTAAATGTTTGGTACAATTCCCCTGGGAAGACATCTGGCCCTGGGCTTTTGTTTGTTGGGAGATTTTTGATGACTGCTTCAATTTCCTTAGTGGTTATAGTTCTGTTCAGGTTTTCTATTTCTTCTTAGTTCAGTTTTGGTAGTTGATACATCTCTAGGAATGCATCCATTTCTTCCAGATTATCTAATTTGCTGGCATAGAGTTGCTCATAATATGTTTCTATAATTGTTTGTATTTCTTTGGTGTTGGTTGTGATCTCTCCCCTTTCATTCATGATTTTATTTATTTGGGTCATTTCTCTTTTCTTTTTGATAAGCCTGGCCAGGGGTTTATCAATCTTGTTAATTCTTTCAAAGAACCATCTAGTTTCATTGATCTGATATGTTCTACTGTTCTTTTGGTTTCTATTTCATTGATTTCTGCTCTGATCTTTATTATTTCTCTTCTCCTGCTGGGTTTAGGCTTTATTTGCTGTTCTTTCTCCAGCTCCTTTAGGTGTAGGGTTAGGTTGTGTATTTGAGAACTTTCTTGTTTCTTGAGAAAGGCTTGTATTGCTATATACTTTCCTCTTAGGACTGCCTTTGCTGCATCCCAAAGATTTTGAACAGTTGTGTTTTCATTTTCATTGGTTTTCATGAATTTTTAAAATTCTTCTTTAATTTCCTGATTGACCCATTCATTCTTTAGTAGGATGCTCTTTAGCCTCCATGTATCTGAGTTCTAGTTTCAAAGCATTGTGGTCAGAAAATATGCAGGGAATGATCCCACTCTTTTGGCACCAGTTGAGACCTGATTTGTGACCTAGGATGTGATCTATTCTGGAGAATGTTCCATGGGCACTAGAGAAGAATGTGTATTCTGTTGCTTTGGGATGGAATGTTCTGAATATATCTCTGAAGTCCATTTGGTCCAGTGTGTCATTTAAAGTCTTTATTTCCTTGTTGATCTTTTGCTTAGATGATCTGTCCATTTCAGTGAGGGGGGGTGTTAAAGTCCCCCACTATTATTGTATTGTTGTCTATGTGTTTCTTTGCTTTTGTTATTAATTGCCTTATATAATTGGCTGCTCCCATGTTAGGGGCATAAATATTTACAACTGTTAGATCTTCTTGTTGGATAGACCCTTTAAGTAGGATATAGTGTCCTTCCTCATCTCTTATTACAGTCTTTGGTTTAAAATCTAATTTGCCTGATATAAGGATTGCCACCCCAGCTTTCTTTTGGTGTCCATTAGCATGGTAAATGGTTTTCCACCCCCTCACTTTCAATCTGGGGGTGTCTTTGGGTCTAAAAATGAGTTTCTTGCAGGCAGCATATCGATGGGTCTTGTTTTTTTTATCCAATCTTATAGCCTGTGTCTTTTGATTGGGGGCATTTAGCCCATTTACATTCAGGGTACCTATTGAAAGATATGAATTTAGCGCCATTGTATTGCCTATAAGGGGACTGTTACTGTATATTGTCTGTGTTCCCTTCTGGTCTATACCATCATCATTTTAAAAGTATATAGACAGGCTCTTTTTTAACAAGTGGAAAATTCACATTACTTTTCTCCTTGAGCCCATATGTCCCTTTCACTTGTCCCACAAAATTTTATCCTAATGCCACACATTTAATGTTGGTAGTAGTATTGTATTGATCTTCACAACAAAAATAATGTATATAAATTTAAATTTTCTTGGAAAAAATTTGTGATCATAAAGGCACTAAATGTTATGGATTCTACAGGATTGGATAGTTATCACACTTATTAACACACAATTGATCAATAAATATTTTATAAATTTAATAACTATTAAGGAAAAAAATATTCTTGGAACTGTATCTTATGGGATAGATGGAGATACAGCTTTTACAATTAACTCAAGTTCATAAGATAGTGTCTTATTGCTAAAATGAAACAGGGTTCAGCATCCTGTACTTGTATATTTACAGGTACAAGTACTGGGAATGTCTTGTTCACAAAAATAAGTGGAGTGGAAAGGATTTTGTTAAAGCAACATCGCTCAGTCCTCTGAACTCTTGAGTTAAGTGCCAACAGTCACCTAGTAATTTGTCATCAATTCGTTTAAATGCATGTTTTATTTTACAGTTGTTTTAGATTGACAGAAAAGCTACAGAGACAGTACAGAGAGTTCCTCAATACCCCTCACCAGGTTCCCCATTGTAACGTCTTCCATCATCCCGGTACATTGGTCACAACTAAAAAACTGGCGTTGGTACATTACTATGAAGTCCGTCAGTCTGTTCTTCAATGATCTCTCAGCTGTTAAGTCAATTTGGTACTTCTCCCATTTTATTGAAAGCAAAGAATTAGAAACATCTGAGTAGTGAAAGGATTTGTCACCCTGCCTTTCCCTTTCGTGTTTCCTGGAAAGTATATCAAAAAAGGCTTACTAAGACTTACCATGTAACTGTAGGTTATACCTTTCACTGTTGGATTCTCTTTCACTTGTCAAATCTGGTATACTGAAAGAATTAGGAAAACCATAATGGTGATCATTTTAGCATATCTTTGCTAATGCTGTGTCTCTTGATAAAATGCTTTTTGTATTAGCATTTATATTCAAACCTTGGAGCTTCAGATTTAGCTCATTTAATGTTCAGAAAATGTTCCAGCTTGGCCATAGAACTTAAACGCTAAAGCAGCCCTTCTTGTTAAAGCAGACTGTAAAAATAGAATATCTTTTCAATGTAAGCAAAAATGTCAATATGTGAATGAATGTGAATCCCTCAACAGGCATGTGGACAGGCACAGACCTTGCCCTGAGTTTGCGGTCCAGAGCCTGCCTTAGGGAGGCATGGCCATTTGGAATACCTGTCACCCCCTGCTTTCTTGGTTTGCTCACACTCGAGCAACCCCGCAAGAATGATGTACTTTAATAATGGGGGGGGAGGGAAAGGTAGAGTGTCTGAACACAAACTACCATTCATTGTTCCCACTCTCCTCAGTCTATGACATCTGAATGTAGACATCCCCAAATGAGCCAAAATACCCATTTCTCATATGGTCCTCCTACTTAACAGAAATGCATGAAAGACTTGTAAAGCCCTGTATCCCTACTCCTGGGGTGGCGGGGGGGTGCTGCCAGGCCAGTAATGGGAAGCGGGACAAGGATGGTGGTGCAAGGAGATGGGGCATGAGACCTCCGTCACAGGTGCACATCACTCAGGGCAGATCAGTTTCAGGAAAATCCGTTAGAAAGTTGAGGATCTGGAAATGAATGAAACCTCTCTGGACAATATGCCTTGCAGGGCTCTTGGGAACCCCAGGGTATACATACTTGAGTCTGGTTGGGACAAGGAAGAGGTCCAGGAGCACACTGATAGCCATGCCCACTCACTGGGGCTCACCAACAGCCACCGCGGGGATCCTTCTCCCAGGCTGGTTTTCTTGAAGGACAGTCGGGAAGTGTCTTACCTCCTGGGCTGGGGAAGGTTGGAGGGTTACAGTCCTTGGTCTTATGTTTGGCTCTTTGAGAACTCGTGATCAGGAACAGTTTGCTTTTTCCCCTCAAACTTGAATAATGTGCACACATCTAGAAAGCAAAGACCCTTAATTAAGAGACATTTAATTGGTCTAAGTTTATGAAAACAGTTGTTGTAGATGATCACTCCACAGTGAAGTTTTGCCTTTGAGTAGCTCTGTTTTGAGATTGCAAAGTGATGAAATGACAACTAACACTCTTGGTAGAGCTCTGGGACTTCCCAGAGCCTGCAGCTCCTACTTTGAGAACGGCCGAAGACCAGGGGTGTTGTAGTTGCCTGTTTTCTGCAGGATGGTGGGCAGGGCCCGGGAGCCACCTCCCTGTTAGAACAGCCCAGATTCCTTGGGTGTCTGCCTGTGCGGGCCTCCTAGTGACTCTTGTATTTGTGCAAGAAGAAGCAGGGGGGAAGTCAGCAAGGCCGCCAGCGCCGACAGCACCACCGAGGGGACGCCGGCTGACGGCTTCACGGTCCTCTCCACCAAGAGCCTCTTCCTCGGCCAGAAGGTAGGCAGACGCGCGGCCTCGGTTGGCTCACGGCCCTGGGACAGATGGGTGGAGGCTACCTCTGCTGCGGGAAGGCCCCGGGATTCCCGGAGGCCGCTCCTGGCCTGGTGGGTGCGGGTGGAGGAGTGGGCAGCTGGGGCTGGCGGGGTGGCCTCAGGGAGGGCCTCAGGGAGGGCTGCAGCAGGAGCGCTGGGGGAGGCTGTCTCAGCGGGGGGGATGAGGAGATAGTGCTAAGCAGAGGGAAGGCCGCTCCTAGACCGGGGGGGGGGGGGGGGGGGGGGGGCCTGGACAGCCTGGGGTTGGTCTGCGGAAGGAGCTGCTAATGTGGGACCAACGGGTCATCAGGTAGCCCCAGCCAGAAAAACAGCCCGAAGTCAAAGCTGGGTCTCGGAAAAAGAAAGGTCTAGCAGGCAGCCCGCTCGCTGCGGTGGGCCCTGCAGGCAGAGCCTCTGATCGGGGGCGGGATTGTTTCTAGACGTCCTTAGGTAATGGGTACACTGAGCCACCTCTCGACTCCTCAAGCCAATCTTTTGTTTGTTTTAACCGTGGGCACTGTATTTTCAGCCATCCCAGTGATGCAGCTTTGCCAGGACGCCATGGTTTTGTAAAAGATGATTCACTTTTGTTCAAAATAAAAATGATGCAAAGGCTTTTAAGACCTGAGAGTGAGAGTTAATTAATATTTCTCTATTGACACCAAAAAAAGGGGGGGGGGGGTTTGGAGAGAGAGGGAATTCCACTTCTCTTAATTTTTTAATCCTCCATGAAAGAAAATGAAAGGCATGAATTTGACCTTCTGTGTAAATTGCTTTGTTCCTAAACAACTTGGTTCTGAAGCTGCATCATTTTTACAACCTCACTGTCAATTTTCTTTCGCATCTCAAGTGACACAGCCCTCCTGCTCCTGCCTTGCAAACGCTCCTTCTCCCCTTCCCCCTCCTTCCTGTCCTGATTGCACTCAGGCTCTCATGATGCAATTCCTCTGGTGGACCCTGTGTTCCAGCAAATCACCATCGCAGCTGACATTTTATAACCATTATCTGTATTTTGTATGCATTTTTCAAAGGAAAAAAAAAATCAGCGCTTGTCATCTTAAGGTCTGGGGTTTTGAAAGTTTTCGTTGAAGGTATTTTTGATTTATTTAAAAAGATGTCAACTCAGCAGTGAAGGCAACCACCTGGGTCTACTTTCACACCCTTTAACATGTCCTTTGGGTCATATATCGGACATTAAGGTGAACCGTCGTCCCAGTTGCTGTGGTGTGGACTCAAGTGTGAACCCCCGTGCTGCTCAGGAGCGGCTCCGGTGTGCTTTAGATCCCCGGTGCAGACCACCCGCCCGGCTCGCAAGCCTGCCGAGCAGGTAGAGCAGTTCAGTCCCTCCCGCTGTCCCCACCGTCCCTCAGCACTTCCCTGCCCTGACCCTGGCCTCTCCCTTCCCTGTGTGGTTCTTGCTACCCCCTGCCGACCACCCCAAAGCCAGCCTCCTTTCCGAACGCCTCACACCCCCTTACTGGCCGAAGTCAGGTATTTTCAGAGTAGCCGCACTCAGCCACACCGATGTCCACGTGCAGACGGATGCCCTCGTTGATCTTGAGCCTGGGGTTTTGTCCGGGCTCTGCTGCATGGGAGCCCTGGAGGGGAGGTGGCACAGGCCGCACATAGCGGGCCAGTTCCTCTGCAACCGAGCAGCACCCTCTTCCCCGCCACGTGGGGTGCACCTGGTCTCAGGTCCGGCTGCCACAGGGACAACAGCCCCAGAAAGTACAAACCAGCCAGTTCTGATGGGACTCCATTCAGGGGTGGGGAGACCAGAAAGCTCTAGAGAAGTATTGATATCTATCATAACCTACAGGAGCATCATTTAGCATTCTTCAAGAAACAGGAACACGGAAGTAGTAGACTTGACAGAGAAACTCATGTGCCCATTACCGATGTCCTGGCTTTGGAAGGGAGCTTCTGGGAGGACATGTTGAGCTGAACCCGGGGTAAAATGGCCAGCTGTCAGGGAGCTGAGTGCAGACCCAGACCAGCCACCTGCTTTCCCATGTCACCCAGTTAGATGTCATCCGGGAGAACAGGCACTGAGCTTCCACGCGGTTGCGCTCTGCATTATGTGTGCTTCCGGATTAATGACCCGAGGTTCGCACATCCAGGACGACGTAGCCCCAAATCCGGGACTGCACATGCCCTTGAGCAAGGGAAACCATATCTCCCTTCAGGTCAGCCGGGGCCCCAGCGTCAGAAAGCAGTGTGTCAGCAGCCCTTCCAGGATCCCTGGGCCCCTGAGGGGTGACATGCAGCAAGTGTTGTTCTTCGGGAGCATTACTTGCACGCAGTACTTTCTGGCCCTTGATGGGCTATTACCGTGGGGTGAAAGTCATGGCATATAATGCAAAAAGGGCAAGAGTCCTAACACTGACGTGACTTTTCCCGCAAAGCACATTTTAAAATGTCATTCTTACAGACGATAGTTTTGACTTAGATTTTTGGAAATGTCCTAAAAAACGTACCTGAGAAGGAAGACTGGATAGTACCTGGTATTCTCTGAATCTGGTTTTCCCATCTGTGGCCGTGAAACCGATGCTTGAATCTTGCAAGCAAGCGACGGTGGAGAAAGGTGATACGGTGCCTTGCACGGCCCTGCCAGGCCTGGTTGCTAAGCTACTCGCAGGAGAAGCCGGCCCAGGGCTGAGGAGTCTGGGATTTCATTATTGTTGATGATCAAGTCTCAGGAGTAATAATCGTCCTCATGACTCTGCTTTTACTCAGTGTTCACACACATTGTTGTTGAATTGTTTTCAAAAAGCAGACAGTGCTGTGAATCTGAATCCACCAAATGTTTTTGCTTTGTGGTTCAACAGAGATTCACAGCTTCCTTTCAGAGATTTAAAAACCTGATTCTTCCAATGTGTACTTCTATAAATCTGGGTCAGTGGCAGTAAATGATTTCAGGCTTTCTGGGTAGGGTCAGTATTATTTGAAGGAGTAGGGAAGGCAGCATGAGAAGGCTGTGAGTGAGTCCCCACATCCCCAGACTGTCAGGATCTGAGCTGCAGCTTGTAGGCCGCGGAAGGCAGGGGTGGGGTACCGTGGGTTTTCTCCCTCACAGACACACACACCTGACTCCCAGGGGCTGCAGCACTGTAAGGAGAGAGGGAGCGATTAAAGCAGCAGTGAGGAGGGAAGGGTCGATGCCCTCTTTCTACCCTACGGCTGACGATTGGTGTCTGAGACGCATGAACAGTGCTGGCTCAGCTCCTGGGCCTCCAACAGTGCCCACCTGTGTCCTTGTCTTTCCCACCAGATGCCACCATCAGACCTGAGGCCTTTGGGAGAATTGAAGCTGGGGATGTGTGCAGGGTGGGCAGCAGGGCACAGATAAAGGAGCCCCTTCATCCCGGGGGCTGGGCAGGCATGGGCTGCAGAGAAAACCTGGTTCGCCATCAGGGGCTACAAACAGTTTTATGGAACATCTCACCCTTTCTGTCTACCTTGGTTGAAGTGGACTTTGGGGACAGGAAGAGAGTGACATTTTATAGGGCTAGCACAAGGAAATACAGCTGGTCAGTCTTCTCCCTTCCTTGTCCATCATGAGGACATGAGAGACACCAAAATTGGACAATTACAGGCTAGATCCAACATGTCACTCAGCTACTGTTTATCAAATACTTTTATTTCCTAAAATTGAGTTTTTAACAATATATATAAAAAAATAGGATTCCTGTAGCCAAGTGGGTCATGTCAAGGCACAGCCCATACACAGTCCATCTAGTAGTTCCAAACCACAGCTCCTTCCCTCTCACTGGCAAGCTGCCTCCCGACCTGCCGGGAGTGGTGGGGGCCCGCCTTCCAGGAGGCCGGGTTTTCCCTGAGCCACCTCAGGTCTAAGCCAGGCCAAGGGCCCAGGTCCTGAGCTCTGGCATTTCCGTTAGCCCTACTTTAAGAGAAGGGAGATGTTCATTTCACCTCAGAGTTGTTGGGATGTTTGACATTCAAGTCCAGCTCTGTTTGTGTGCCTATAGCAACCTGAGCACCACCTCAGGCATCGTGTGGCGCTCAGGGCTAAGAGACAGCCCACGCTCCGCCTTCCAGGAGCTTCTAGTAATGAGTTCACTCATGAGTAGAGAACAAGGGCTAACATGGATGTAACCACTAGAGGGAAGATGTGGGGCATAATAGATGGAGACACTGGCTGTAGCTGAGATTAATCAGGGCCCAGAAGTGGAAGGGTCTTGCAGGACACTTGGCTAAGTCCCCTGCTTCCAGTTCCATAGCCATGTAGGACCCCCTTCTGCTCTGTAATTGGCAGTCCCCCTTGGTCACTCTCAACAGTGGCCAGCAATCTTCAGATATTTTAAATTCCCCATACTGGGATTTAAAACTTAGTTTTCTGTCATTTCCAATGATAAGACAAAGGAGTAGTGACCTTATTCAAATTCTGAAATCATCAGTGACACCGCGCCCGCCCCCGCCCCCCGCCTCCCGCCTCCCAGAGAATCAGATTCAATATGAGAATATGCACAGAGCCCGGAAATCTTGCTCCCCGGGCCCCCTGCTCTATCCTTCGCTGCAGACAGCCACGTGGTCCCTGGGGTGGAGTGGCTGGGACTTCCTAGGACTGGCTGTCTTTCCTGGTCCTACCAGGCAGGTTTGTGTGTAGCCACGGGACCGCAGGATCCTTGTCAGACCTCTGCGCACATGGCCTATTTGTATGTCATGCTCACGGGGTTTCTTCTCCTATCCAGGGGGAGCTATGGCCTTTGTTCTTGACCATTTCACTGTTGGCTTCTGTCCACTGGCCTGCCTGCCCAAGCCAAGCTGGTTACCCATGTGTCTCTCCAAAGTGCCTGCAGCAGTTTGTCCTCTGCCCTCCCCACCCATTCCTCTCCCGGACATACACACATAATAATCCCCCCACCCCAAACACATGCTTTATAGTCCAGAGGTGGTTTTTAAAAAATATTTCGATGTATTTAACCGCAGCAAAACTGTTCTGCGGCTCAGGCCCTCAGCCTGAGGACTTGTGCTGAGCCTGGTGCACAGCGAACATAGGTGGAAAAGCAAGAGTAAGATGTGGTGGAGAGTGAGACAGTACTTGGTTAGCCGGGAGTTCTCCTGGCTGGTGGTAGTGGCCCCCCAAGGTGCAGTGTTCTGGGCTTCCAAGAGTGGGGCACCTCTTGTCAGGAAGGTGAGGAGTCCAGAGGGAACTGGGAATTCTCCAAGGAACTTGTTCTGTTTGCAACCACTCCCTCACTTCAGCAAAGCCATGAAGCTCCCCCCACCCCCCCCCAGTTTCTCCAGAGATCCCATTCCCCAGGCAGAGTCAGAGACTGTCTTCTGGGGTCTTCTCTGCTAGCTGAATCAAAGCCCATGGAAATAGCTGGTTTTCCAATGAGGCACTTGCAAATATAAGTTCAGAAGCATCTATACTGTTGGGGGAAAAAATAGTGTGAATTTTAGGGATTTGAACATGTATATTTTTAAACAAACAAGAAAGGAAACTCGTAGATCCCTTAAAAATATACTAATCCATACCACACCAAGTCAAGTGTTGCTTTCCCTTTTTTTTTCCTTTCCCTTCCTCCCTCAACAACCTCCTGCTACTTCACAGTGTAGGGTTTTGGGGTGGGTTTTTTGTGGGGGGAGGCAGGGAGTATTAGCTTAATTTGAGTTTTTATAAACAGCATTTGCTTAAAGTTAGATGCAAAGATGCAATACTTACATGATACCATAGTCAAACCCTTTACCTTGTCCTGAATCCTGACCGTTCCTTTGCCTTCCTGGAGCGCCCCTCCCCCTTCAGTCTGTGCCCAACCACACCCCTTCTCCCTGAATGCAGCACTTAGCGCCCTCGCCCTGATGCTGGTCTCTTCTCTGCCTCTATCCCAGCCCCAGAGTCTGTAGTGCCAGCAGCCCCACTGTGTGGGGTCCCCCCAGTGGGCTTCCTCCAGCTTCGGGGATGTTGGTGGCCCCTAAACCACCCTGCAGTGCTGGGAACCGGACCCCAGGAAGTCCCCGTGGAGAAAACTTCTTCCTCTCCCACCTTCCAGCTCTAACTAGAAATGGAGCCCACTGCCCTGTGGCAGGGTCTGGCTGAGTCTTTCCCCAGCCCAGCGTATGACCAGATTCATTTCCCCACGTGCTTGCTCAGAGGATGAGTTTTGGTTTAAGCGGGTCCATTTTTTTGAGAATCTCCTGAGTGCTTCTGGGAATGAGAAATGTGGGTTTATATTTCTGGTGCTCATAGAGTGTCAGGTTTTCTGTTTGGTTTTGTTTTCAACAAAACATTTGGCCCCAGAAATTCAGTGCCTTGGAGCCAAGTTGCCAAGGGCCTCCCTGCCAAGTGTCTGCACCCGGCCCTCTCGTCTGAGCGCGCGCCTGGACAAAGGCTCCTGCCCTGCTGGGCCCTGCGGCTGCGGGCCACTCTTCCAGTCTCCGTCGCAGTTGGTCCCGGGCGCCAGCTCCTCTGGGGTCTGCTTGGGCATTGCTCTTCGCTGCAGCTGTGAGGAATTCATGTCACTGAAGGATAAGCATCTTCACTGAGAGCGCACGAGCGCGAGAGCGCGAGCACTTTGCTGCAGGCATTTGTACCTAAGAACAGGAAGGGAAAGGGTAGGACCCGGGACGGTAGTCCTGGGCCGGCTAATTCTTCTTACCCCTCTGACAGCTGAATCTAGAATTCAGGGCTCCTCTCAGCCAGAGGGTTGCCATAGCAATGGGAGAACTGTGAGGAGGGAGCACATTCGGTGGCTCTCCAGAAAGAGCCAGTTGGTTTCGTGCTCATGGAACTGGGGGAAATCCTCGACCCAGTGGGGCCCCCAACAAAGTGTAACACTTGAGACACCGGCGCACTCGAGAGCTGCTCTTTCTCTCCCTGGCTCTCACCAGAACTTCAGCATCACATGACTAATAGGCATGCAAAATTAGATGTTCCTAAGCAACAGACCACCTCGCTCTCGGCCCCCTCTGCGCAGGGCAGCGGAGCCAGCCGGCCAGGAGTCAGGGTGAGGGGAACAGCCTTAAAGACCCATGGCCCCTTGGAGGACAACAGCAGAGCTGCTAGGGCTTTCCCAGACGAGCTAGGACTTGTGTACCATCCCGGGGCTCGAAGAGGAGGTCACATATACCGCCCCCACCCCAGCAGTGAGTACTCTGATTCTGGGTCCCGCTAGCAGCTGTACTTCGTTTCTTCAAAGGGGAGTGGACCCGCCGGTCCACATGGCTTACGCCTCCCTTTTGCTCCAAGCCTCACCCAGCAGGTCCTGGACCCTCAGCCTAGCTTGCTTCCTTCCAGCATCCTGAGCAGCACTCGAGTCTTGTCTGAGACGGATTCGTTTAGCCAGCGACTCCCCATTCCCCTGTGTGCCCAGTGCACCTGGAGTGTCCACTGCCCTTCATCTGTATCCCAAGGCACACTTCTCTGTGACTTCCCGGCTGTCCTGTTATTTCCCACCTCATGCTTTTCTTTTCAGCTGAACCTTATTCACAGTGAAATCAGTAATTTAGCCGGCTTTGAGGTGGAGGCCATAATCAATCCTACCAATGCTGACATTGACCTTAAAGATGACCTAGGTAATTGGGGATGGGGTTTGGCACCACCAGCTGTCAGATGATAAGTTATGGGACCCAGAATTTAGGCTCCTCATCTTCTCAAACTTCAGGTGGGCAAGCCAAATTCCCAAATCCGAGATGGACATTTGAGGGTAAACCCTGAATGTTTACCCACTCCGAGCTATTTCAAATGGAAATGTCTGATGATGTTTCATTAAGTACAATTGGCTACTTTCCCCTTGATTGTCAATATATTGCCATCTAAATTCTCTTCCATAGTGATCATACTGACTGCTGGTTACTTGGGAGGGATTTTTTAAAAATGTGTTTGTTTTTTTTTTTAGAACTGAAAAATCTCAGGTTGCTACAAAATGATAGTTTCTCCATTTAAGCCTTAATTAGAAATGACAAAGCTTGAACGCACTTGAAAAGACAATTAAACTGCATCAGTATATCGTCCTGAATCCACCAGCAAATTGGTTTCCCCCAAATTTACCACCTACTCAGTATTTTCTACGACCAAAAACAGTATATGACTGTATGCCTACTTTATGAATTATTTGATTATTAGAGGATGATACTAAACAGAAGGGCAACATCTCTTTCTGAGTGAGTTCCTACAGAGGAAAACTCTGCCCCAGAGCCATGGTGTCTCCACGGCTCAGGGCAAGCGAAGAGGTACCCCTCAGGTGTCCCAGTCTGTGGCTTGATGTTTGCACAGAGGAACTGTCAGCTCAGGGGCTCAGTGAAGGCTCCTGTCCTCTTAGCTGTGAGCCTTGCCAGGAGCAGCAGATGAGCAGATGCCCACTGGGGCAGCCTCCTGCCTGATGCTGACCTAGGTATGTTTTGAAAGCCTTTCTTTCGTTCCCACCTTTGGCTACCTTTGTCAGGTGGCAGCATCTCTTACTGGCAGAGATGCTCATTCTAGAGCCTGGGCCCAACCCTCACAAATTTGGTATAATTGTGGGCTGGAAACAAGGGAACAGGGACTCAAGAATGCCCTGCCCGAACTCATTTTCCACCCATATACTTTCTTTATACAGATGTTTTCTTTAAAAAAAAAAAAAAAAGGCCACAAGCTAGAAAAAGCAGGGATCGTATCCAAAGTACATTTTATATGTAAAATACATGAAAATAAGATCGACTCGAATAAATGGCAGACCTGGAAAAATATTTTTACACGTTGAAGGGGACGATAAAGGCAGTTCTCTATGCACACATACTGTTTTCTTGGTTTTCAAGAGATGTCCCTCGAAGACAGACAAAACGATGCGTGTCCCAAGACTAAAACTGCAGCTCTGAAAGCTGCGGCCGACAAAATGGAGAAACTTGTCGTTGTGGTTGGCCTGATAGTCCACATTTTTTTTAAAACAGATGCCATGTTTTTAGTAGTCTTCTCAGCGGGGTACCAGTTTTGTAGGCTTTTGCGAAGTGAAATGGGGCATTCGTTGTTTTGTTATTTCTTTTAATCTTTGGAAATGATCTCATGTGTGTGTTTCTCTTTTTTTGGACATGTCATTCAAATGTTTAATTTAAACATGTCACATTTGATATTCCTCCTCCTCCTCCTCCTCCTCCTCACCCCCATCCACATGTGCGCACACTTCGTGGACTGATTGCCCCTTGGGCTCGTGTGTTGGAATCGACCAGGTAGGCCAGCCCTGCCGTTGGGCATTAGTAAATGTGCCTGTGCGTGGGTCTCGGGCCAACACGGTTGATACACATTTGTTTACCTGTTATAGTTGCAAGTTGTACAGGCTGACATTGCCTCGATCGACAGTGATGCTGTCGTTCACCCGACAAACACTGACTTCTACACCGGTGGTGAAGTAGGTAATGCCTAGCCGGGTGCTGCCGAGTGTGTGTGTGCATGGTCAGTCGGCCGCCGCAGACAGCTTGATCCTTTGACAGCTATGCAGGGCTGCATTCATTTCACACTTCCAGCTGTCCTGACCTTCCCAAGGCCTCCTGTCCCTGGGCTGTTAACACGAGAAACCACAGCTAGCTGTCAGCCAGGGTGCATCACGCAGCTCCCAGGTGGGGCACACTTCTGGTTTGGAAACTGGTTCGGCAACGTCATTTCGGCATTTGCTTCACGAGGCACGGCTTTGTTGGAGTCTGGGTTCACCCTCGATTTCAGCTGCGAGGGGGATGCAGCCAGGTGGGCCGAGTGGCTTCCAAGACCACCTCGGTGCTGTCTGTGGACCAGGCACACAGGGATGCCCGGGCACAGGTCTCTGCTCCCCCGCCCCCGGCCCCCGCCCCCACTTCGGTGTCACAAGCACGCTTCCCTGAAGATGGCCTTAAAGCCTCAGGGGCACGCTGAGAACACACTGGGCTTCTCAGACCTTAGCTGCACAGAAGTCATCTCATTCTGGTGTGGGATCCCTAGACGATCCTAGACCCAGAAGGCCCCTTCCTGTTCACTTGGCTTGTGGCGCTCACCAGCGGAGCGTGGGTGGGGGAGACACAGGGCAGACTTGCTGCATGAATGGCAGGGAGCGCCCTGCTTGAAGAATACGCTGCCGGGCTTCCGTGACCAGGGGGCCGGTCCGGATGTTTTGGCAAAAAGGCACAGGGTTAGAGCTAGGTGGCAGGGGCTTGAATCCCAGCCTTGCCGTTTACCAGTTATGAGGGCTGGACGAGTAACTTAACTCCTCAGTGCCTCGGTTTCCCTATCGATGAAAGAGTGATCATGATGAGAATGACGTTCTTATAAGCAAAGCACCTTGTTTTGTGCCTGCCCCATGATGGGTACTTCCTGCCTGGTCTCACCCTCACGTGCATCTAGGATTTTACCAGTAGGTGTGCCTGTCCCGAGAGCAGCACTCTGGCTGTAGATTTGAACACCACGTCCTAACGCAGTGCCCTTTCTAATACAGGGCAAAAGTGAAGTCAGCCTGGAGGCTGAGGCTCCCGGGATTTTCCTGAGTGTCCCAGACACTGGAAGCACAAACAGTGTAGCCATCTGTCCGGCTCTGTTTAGTGTCACTGGCAAAGCCTGCCGTTCCCAGTCCGCCCTAGCCACCGCGATTTGGGCTGATTGCTCTCCTGGGCATTTTGGATCTCGGACGTGGATGGAAAAGACACACTGGCCGGGAAGTTGGGACTCGCTAAGGCGTCCCGGCCAAAATGAAATCAGGCTGTAGGCAATTAAAATAAACTCCACTTTCACAAGATCTTGGAGGAGTTTAAGAGCTCCTAAGTCAGGCAGCTTAAGAGAAAGATACTCCCTTTCTTAACCAAATGAAAACTCGATGGGAGGGAAGTACTTATTTGGAGGAAAATAAACAGAACGGCAAAGGGCTTATCTTTCTGCCAGGAGTGACTAAGGCCTGGGTTCACCCTGCCATCCAGGACTTGGGATGAAATGGAAATGAGCAAGCTCCCAGGGCAAAAGTATCTCCCCTAGGCCCAAGCAGAAGGGAAAGGGACTTTCTTTACTGGGGAAGGTGTGTGTTCAGCAGGATTCGAGGTGCCCGGGGGTAGAACTGGAGGCTTTGAGATGGGGGCAGGAGCCAGTTTTGGGGTAACGACCTAGTCCTTCCAGAACCACAATCACAACTGGTCTCGGAATTGTGACAGTGCTAATCCTTTGCCCTGTGATGTGCTTGCCCTCCCCTCCCCCCCCCGCCCCACTGAGATGTACAGGGGAGGCATGATTAGCCTCGGTGACCTGGCCGTCACCTGGCTCCGAGAGCTTGCCCAAGGTCACGTGTCACATCAGTCGCGGATGCTGTCACAGCTGGAAAGGAACCTCAGCCGGTCCAGACAGCTTTACTGGCCGAGGAGGACCCCAAATGACTGTGCCGGAACCCAGGTCTTCCAAAGCTCACCTCAGTGCTTTTTCTCAGTGAACCAGTCCAGACTAGTACTGAACCCACCTATCTTTTACATTTTCCAAAACAATGACAAACCAGATTCCTCCGTGGTCTCAATTGGTGCTAGCTCCCACTTGGATGTGTGAGAGGGGAAAAGAGGAAGCTAGGACATTTCTCCCACTGGGTGTGAAATTCCTGAGACCCGAGACTGCTGGAAGAAGGAATGCCAGTGCAGGAATGCTTAGCCCCGTGATTAACTCTTACCCATCACAGTTCTTTCTAACAGTGAAATAGACCACAGGCTTAGCCTGACATTTGTCCAAGCCTAAATTTTCGCTTAGGCTGTTTTGAACACTGATACTTATGCCTGCTTTCTAAGCATGAAATAATGTTCTTGTTCTCATGGGAGTAACACATGTTTATGCTTGGGGGCAAAGAAGCCAATTGCTTTACGATTAACCCTGAAGTGGAGCCTAAAAAGCAAGAGTCTTCCATGATGAGTGTTGACAATACAGTTGAAATGGGCCTGTTTCTTGTTACAAAGTACACGTGTGTCTACATGAACATGTGCATACATATGTGTGTGTAGGGGTCCCGTCCTGATCGCGGTGATTGCCTGCAACCTAGGGTTCAATTTTTAAGTTGGGAAATGCATTGAGTGTATTTTAACTTGCAAGTTTCACTTCTAATTAAAGCAAGATTTAATTACAAGTAAAAATTTTAAAGTAAACACTCTTCCTAAGATGAAACACCTTTAATGCTACATCAGCCCATTTTCTTAATACCGTATGCTTTAGAAAGGAGTTGGCAGTATTAATACAGTACTGATTTTATTTTGCCTTCCAAATTTCTCAGTTTGCCCCCAAAGAGCATGTCTGGTAGAGAATGCAGACCTAACATAGCTCCTCATAGAGCAGACTTGTTTCCCTCCCTTGAGCTTGAGAACCGGTCAGCAGGGAAGGCCAGGTGTGGTGGGTAGCAGTGTTTGGGACCCAGCAGATTCAGACTTAAAGGTTCATTTTTCTCAGTTGCATGATCTTCCGAGTGAACCCGCAATTGGGCCTCACTCGCCTGGGTCGTATCCTTCAAGTCTGCACTTCCTGCAGCATGGAGGTGGCCATGGGGCCCGACCCTGCTCCCTCACGCCCATTCAGCCACCCTTTGTGATGCTGGTCTTTGTCAGGAATGTGCAGCAGATGCCACAGTGCTTAGAAGTCTCTGGAGTGGACGTATTTTTCCCTCCTGATTCCTGTGCCATTTAAAGCGTCCGTGACTGCTTTCTAAGACAGGCGAAGGCGTGAGGGTAGAGAGTCTCGGCTAATGAGGGATGCTGGCTCCCTCCCAAAGCATCCCACGCGAATCTCTCCCCAAAAAGCTGGGCCTCCTCCCAGACATCTGAGGGCTCCCCATGGGTGACGGCCTGCTGGTCATGTGCATTCACACACCCCAGACTTGCTGCCAGTCAGTGCCTGCCGTTCACCCTGGTGCTGATGGGTGACCGTGCCCAGGCCGTGTGTGCTTCCCTCCCGATACTTCCTGGGGTTAGTTCGCTCCTCCAGAGCCAGTCTGCCAGGTTCCTCTACGATAAATGGACCTAGTCACGAAAGCGTGAATAACCCAAAGAGAATCTGGGCCGGTGCACTCCGATGCGCCCTGACACATACCGCAATGTGCCAAGTGCAGCTTAGAATTTTCCAAGATAAACGGTGAATCTTAAGGGGAGTATTTTATCCTCTTGTGAGGAAAAGTACTTTAAAATGTGCAAAACTGATGAATCAGAGCTTAAGGAAGACTGAGACCCCATTTTGGCCAAACCTGAGAGGGTGAGGACGTCACTGGTTTGGAATGCGGTTGGCTGCGCCACGCGGGGCCTGTAAGCAGCACGTGACATGGAGGTTGGTCATCTCGTGTGGGCAGTCGGCTTTCACAGCAGGAACTGACCACTCAGCAGGACCCCTACCTCGAGAAAAGGGGCTGCCTACCTCCACTGGATTTAATCTTGAAAATCGGGCCCCGAACAGGCGGTCACCTTCCTTTCGTGCTGTACAAGCTCGCCTTTAAGCTCTGCTTCTGATGTTGCCTTCCTTTACCTAAAGTGATTCTGAGTCATTAGTGTGATGAAGGAAATACTGTCTGAGGCCTTTTTTTTTTTGTATTCAATATGACGCCAAAGCTGCAAAATAGGAACGAAGCATGGTAATAATGCTGGTCCAGAGGTGGCCAAATTTGTATGCTTCTTCTGGGCCTGCTGCCAAGAGCAGACCTGGCTTCCTAATGGGAGCACGCTCTGCTTCCCCTACAGCCTCCGTACTCAGGGGTTCTCTCCGGAGACAGAGAAGGAAGTCTAGGGGAGGCCTAAGCCTCTGAAGCCAACACCACTGGTTTCTCACAGCAATGAGAAGCATGCAGGCCAGGCATGCTTGCAAGCAACAGGTGTGTCCCATGTCCCTCACATCTCTGGCCTATCTCGGGTTACTCCGAGTCACCCCCAAATGTGAGACAGCAAAGACTGCTCAGTGGCAATTGGCCAGTTGGATCCTTTCTAAATGTCACTTAGATGACTTAACCAAGGCTTAGTTCGTGTTTTGCAGCCGTATGGAAATTTAGCTGGTCAGATCATTGGAAGTCTGTAATCACCTGACATGCTAAGTGTCTGTCTGTGCCCCGAGACGCAAGAGTGGCCGTCTGACCTCACCCTGTCCTTGTCTAGGAAACACGCTGGAGAAGAAAGGTGGCAAGGAGTTTGTGGAAGCTGTTCTGGAGCTCCGAAAAAAGAACGGGCCCTTGGAAGTCGCTGGAGGTAAGCTGGGGGAGGGCGTGCCTCGTGCGGCATCAGGAGAACCGGGTCGTGAGGCATCTTGGGAGTTGAGAGGTGCATGGCCACGCACACCTGTGTCCGAGCTAGAGCCACAGGGAAGCCCATCCGCTTTACGACGTGGACTTACCACATGCAGATTGTCAGGGGGAGCTTAAGGGTTGTGCAAACTGCCCTTCCACTTTCTTTATTGCTCAAAAGAGCTCTTGAATGTTTGATGTCTAGACCTCTCATTTTAAGGAATTACAGCAGCCAGGAGTTTGGCAAAGCTAAGAGTCGAGACTTGTCGATAGTGATACTGAGCCATCTGCGGAAGTGCTGGGGAAACATGCAAATGAATCCTTTTCATTCAGCCATCTGTGTTTTTAATGGGAAAAATCGAAGTAGGCATTCACCTTTCCTGATACCAGGGGATAAGAAAATGACTTGGAATCTGATGTAGGGAGAAAGATGGCTAAGAGCTAGAGGCAGGTCCTTCTTCCGCTGCTGGCCTGGATTTTGAAATGTGAGGTGGTCAGAGGGGTATGGTCTCAGGGTAGAGGGCGTTTCCAAGCCCTTCTGGGTATTGCCACCGAAGTCCCATATGGAACAAGGGAGGACCCTGCATTATTAATTAACCACCCAGGGGCTCCTGGCCTCTTCTCAACCCCTTCCTGGCCCCTCTCTGTGCCAGCCCAGACCCTCGGTGACCCTCGGATGGAGCTGTGACGAGAGTCCTGGTGCTGCCACGCACCCAAATCAGCTGGTGACACCTGAGCCTCAGCTGAGGCAAACCCATCACATTTAGCATGGCTGAAGACACACTTGCCTGTTTTATTAACTCATTTTGTTCTTGATATCAGCATCTGTTTTACAAGATGTTTTAAAATACTTCTAAACATAGAAAGGTTGTATAAAACACAGCCCTGCTCCACTGTCCCGAAGATGATCCCTGTCAGGATGTTTCCTTCCAGTCTTTTCCCATGTGTCGTTCGGCCGTGACTTTGCCCACGGACAGACCAGTGCACAAACCCCCCGGTCTCCCGTTGCCAGAGGTCAGCACTTCATCCCAGAGTTCTCCAGTCGGGGAGCAGAGCCGGGACTCCAACTCAGACCCTTGTCTTGGCTCAGAGCTGTTGCTACCGCCCCGTGAGAAACCGCCCACGAATCACGCTCTCCCCATCCCCACTGGCGTCACAACCTTGACAGGCCTACCCCTGAGGACGGTTGTCCCTCAGCAGACAGGCTCAGCACACAAACAACAGCGGTGGTGTAGAGACCTCGGGCTCTTGTGCAGAAACAGAGCAGGCAGCGCTCACCACACCTGTGGACCCACAACCACCCGCTCCGCAGTGCATCTTGGGGGACAGGGGTCACGGAACCTGCTCTGGGAGACCCCGCACTGACGTGTCACCCTTGCCGGGGGCAGCACATTGGAGGCCAGGCTCTTTGGAGCTAATGAGGGGCAGAGCCTGAGGGCGAAAGCTGGCTGTGGGGTGGACATGGAAAGTTAGACAAAGCAGCTCTTCCAGGACCAGAGACCAGTAGTGTCGTGAAAGAACAGTTTAATTCTGTCCACACCAAGGGGGATCGGGGGAGAAGGGCACCGGAACTCTGTCAGTCATGTTGCTTAGTGGTTCAGGAAACGGAGCTGCTTTCCTGATAGGTTTATTCTGAACTGTGCCCGGGGTGGGGGGATTTATAGATACGTCCTCATTACCTGTACTTGAGTCCACTGGAGGAATGGGGCTTGGAGGCCCCAAAAGGCAAACCTGAGGCTGCCAACGTTGTGACATACTCAGTCAAGTGAGGTGGTTCAGGCTCTGCCTCTGGGAGGGTACAGAGAGAGCTCGCTGTCCTCTTGGCTAACATTCCTGGTGGTGATGCATCCTGATGCCAACTTCCCAAGGGTGGGCCTTGGCCCAGTGTCTCCCCGAAGACGACTAGCTGGGGAGCAGTCCCCCGGAGGCGTCTGTGTTGGGCATCTGGTGCCGTGTGCGCTGCAGAGGGACGGAACTCACTGTTTGTCTCATCCCCTCCAGCTGCTGTCAGCGCGGGCCACGGCCTGCCTGCCAAGTTTGTGATCCACTGTAACAGTCCGGTCTGGGGTGCAGACAAGTGTGAGGAACTTCTGGAAAAGACGGTGAAGAACTGCTTGGCCCTGGCCGACGATAAGAAGCTCAAGTCCATCGCGTTCCCATCCATTGGCAGTGGCAGGTAAGGACACACGGCTTGTGATGTCATTACCGGATGTACTGATCTGCATATGTGGCCCATAATCGTGGAGCTCTGGCTGGTACGAGGTCCGCTGAGGCTGTCCTCAGGCCACCTGATGCGTCGAGAAGATAGGGAATAATACAAACATGAAGCAATGGTGAACAGCAATTGAAGGGACACAGTGAGACAGGAAGCCTGAGGCCAATAGAAATTTCTGGCGTGACAGCAAATGTCAGCACGGGAAGGGGCCTCAGGGTGTGCTGGGACCATCAGAGATGGTGGCTGAGAGAGTGAGCCTTGCAGGACACTAAGACTCAGATGTGGGGTGAGTGGGGAGGACAGGGCAGGTGTGAAGGCTGGGATGCTCGTGACGAGAGCACCCTCCCACAGCCACACCATTCTCTGCCTCTCGCCTTTGTTCTCCCAAGCGTCCTTGCCCTCCCCCAAATGTGCGTGCTCCACCTCTGTCTCCCTGTCCTGCTATCGAGCTCAGGAGGGGTGGGCCTGAGTGGGCACTTAAGTAACCGTGAAACAGGGCTGGGCCCAGCCTACCTCCCAGCCCTGAACTATCCACGGTAGGCTCTGGGTGTGCGCTAGGAGAAATTAAAGGAGCTCTGAGAAGGGAGAGGGCTTTGGGAGCTCCATGGCATGCTGAAGAGGCCGTGCCCCACCGCCCATCCCATCACGGGGTCGTCCCAGAAGACTCGCTGTCTGGATTGGGCACCGAAGCCAAGGGAAACGGGCCTGCAGAGGCTGCTGTGTGGACATCTTGGGCCTGACAGAGGCCACAACCCCGGGCTCTGTCTTAGCCGTGGCTGCACCTGGGGCATCCCATCCGGACTGTGCGCCTCCCTGGGTCTCCGCCATCGGCCCCTCCCAGTGCCTCAGAACGGCAGGGCTGTGGGACGAGACCACACCGACTTCCCTGGGCCCGCAGGCTGTGCCGGGGAGCCTGAGTATGGATCCTCAAACCCCTTCCTCACCTTTCTAGAAAGCTCCTCCTTTCAAAGCACTCCTCTTCCCGCCCATGAGGAGGACAGAGTGGAGTTTGCTATTTCCATCTCGGGCAAGCTTTGTAATGGTGCCGTCATCCCGCACGCTGCCATCACCGAGGTTTCACACCTCGCTAGCCCTGGGCAGGTGTCCTGTCCCCTCAGCCTGGGGCGCACAGCTGCCGTAGGGCTGGCAGGACTTCCCCAAGGACGGATATGGGAGGAGAGCTGTGGCTAGAGCCTCCATGTCTGCCCACCTCCAGCAGCCGCAGGCCCTCCCAGGCTGCACGGGCCTCCCCTCCCCTGCCCTGGTCCTGTAGTTCCGAGCAGCCCTGGCATCCGGTACCAGGTCCTCCCTGGAGAGAAGGGCCCTCCGTCCTCTGTGCAGTGCGCTGCGTCCTCGGGCTTCCTAGCAAAACGCAGCCGGAGCACCCAAGCCGCCGTGTCCCCACAGTATGTGTGGGGGCAGAGGAACCCGCAAGGGAGAAGTGCAAGCTCCCGCCAGCCCCCTGCCCTGTGGACGCGGAGTGCCACTCTACCGCCGAAGTCAGGGGCGTCCAGAGCTATGTGATGCCCCACTCGTCGGAGAGTTGCCCACACTTGCACCACTATGCTTTTTCCTTCGCTTTCTTTTGCCAAAAGCCTATGTTGAACGTGACTGTAAACCACTTTTAAATGCCTCTTAAAAGCTAACAGAGATAGAGCATTGGAAGCCCCTCGGTGGGCGGTCAGAGCACGTGGCAGAGGCAGAAGCGAGTGTCCTAAGGAGTCCACAAGCACCCCGCAGCTTGAACGTTCCCCAGAACCAGGGAGATGAGTAATAGGTGCCAGAGACCATTCAAAACCATTTTTGACAAAGCGCTTGTGAACCAGAGTGTAAGTAGCCAGCTTCCTGCTTCTCCCACCTCCCATAAAAGGTCTGTTCTTCGGCACCGCCCTGCTGTGTGACCTTGGCTAAATGAGTTAGCCTCTCTGACCCTGGCCTGCCTTATCAGGGAGCAAGGCTCTGGGGACGGCCCTTCCTCACAGATGGCTCCGAGGCTCAATTAGTGCTTCGGATGCACTTTGATCTCCTCTGATGAAAGGTGCTTCTGAAGAAAGAAGCAACAGGAGCCTTTATTGGAGGCAATAATTTCATATTCTTTCATATGGGTAGTGGGAAACTTTTAATTGAAGCATAAAAGTAATTCTCTACATTTTTCACAGAGTAAAAAGTTTTTAAAAACAATCAATTGAACGCTTTTAAGAGGCCAGAATGCCAAAGGCAAGCACGCGTGCTCAGCCCCCAGCCCCACATCTGTCGGGCAGACCTGGCCCCACGGAGCGGTGTAGACAGCCGCCCTGTCTTTCATGAGCAGAGATTGGGATTACACCAGAGCCGGCCCGTAAATCACGGTGGGTTTTAGGAGGGGAAATAAAACAGCTTGTTTGTGGCATCCAGTGTCTCTGGCATAAAAGTCCCATTGGAATTAAAACAGTATAAATGCAAACATGTTGGTAAAGAGCAGTGGGAACACTTTCTCTCTGCCCAGGCCGGCCTCGAGGAAGCCACCTCTGGCATCTGGACCTCCTGTCTGTGGGCACTGCGGTCACGGTATTTATGGATACCCCCACTCCGTCAGCTCTGTTTGACGTTCGGGGGCGACCCGTCTCTGGAGGGGTAGTATAAAGGGAATAAGTACTTTGGGGCTTTGATTAAACTCTGCTTAGATTTATGAGCTTAAAAGAACCGCCAGGTTTTTTTTTCAAGCTTCCATTTATGGGTATTGCTTGAATCCAGGTACTGTGCTAAGCCCCCAGTCTGCGTTATTGCCCACTGGCATTAATTCTACTCAAAGTAAAAACGAACGAACAAAAAACAAAAACAAACCAAAAAATATGGAAGCTGAGAAGGGTTAACTCACTCACCTGAGGTGCCACAGCTTGGACTGGGTAGAGCCAGAATTTGAGGGGAAGTCCTTGGCATCTGTGCTGGTGAAATGAGGCACATGGAACCCCTTCCTTCTGTCCCCATTGGTCAACAGACCCCTTTTGCCCTCCAGCAGATGATCGCCCCACTGCTTGAGCACTCTCTGTAGGAGTGGATTTTAGGGAACCTTGGAAACCCCAACTTGGAATTCCCTGACCTCGCCCTCAGCCTCCCTCCACCCTGGAGTGAGAGAAGTAACAGGCCACAGTGGGTTATGCTCCCTGGCCCGTCCGCATGCCGTCCAGAACTACAGCCCACTGCTCTCCCCTGCTGGCCCACTCTTAACCTCTGGAGAGAGTGGCCTTCAGGTGGGGCAGCTTGACACAGGCAGTTACTCAAAGCCACACAGAACATGGCAAAGTGGAAAGGCCCAGTAGCACAGTGTGAGGGATACCTAATCCTAGCAGCAAAGTGACCACCCGGGGGCACGCGTTCCCAGCATCACCCTACGTTCCATGCCCTCCAGCCCTACCCTCTCCAAGACCGCCAAGACAGACAGGTGGACCGATCTAGCATGGAAACCCAAGTCCATCTAGAATCCACCTTTAATCCCACCCTGCCTTCCAAGGCAAGCTCCCAGACTGACTCGTCCAGAAAGTCTGCCTGCACTTTTCCATCTCCCAGGACATAGCCTCTCCCCACAGGATTCTCCACGGTCCCTCATCAGCCAGTTCAACACTGCTCCTGGCCTGGAGTCCTTCCTGTGTGCCTGCCAGCCCCACACAGGAGCTCCCCAATAACAGGGGTGCTTGGTGGTGCCCCATCCAAGGTGGGGGCTCAGCAGTGCTGGAGGAACCCTCTTCTCTGATGTGGCCCTGGTGAGCCCAGAACCCCTGCCATCCCAGTGGAATGGAAAGACAACCAATATGGAGCCCCCTGACCATCCTGACCAGGCTGACCCAAAGGGCGCCAGATCAAGAAAGCCCCTGTGGTCCCCTGGCACCCATCTGAGGGAGCTGAGGCCCAAGGCACTTGGGAAGGGCTGTCCCAGACAACTGGAATGACTTCAGGGGAAGCTCGACATCTCCTTAGTCTGCTCGAAGTCGAAGACACTGGCTGCAGAGAAACTTAAGGCACAGGCTGGACCCACAGCCCCTAACAGGCCCCATAGCGCCCAAGGGGGGATAGGAGGGACACCCACCTGTTGGGGGCAGCAGCGTCCTTGGCATCACCGCCCCGTGTACCCTTGAAGTACCTCTAATGCATGGAGAGGCTAACGCCCCTGCCCCAGGGCCGCTGGGATTCAAACCCCAACCTGATGCTAGAACAGAAGCCCCAACCCCCTCTTGCTCTGCTGTGTCTTGGGGGGCGGGGGGGTCTCTGGTCTTCAGAAGATGGACAAAGTGACGGTCACAGGGGCAACAGGCCGGAGCTGGGGGAGGAGGGCCCAAAGACTGGCCAAGCAGGGAGGGCCATTCAGGGCGGCTGCAGCGAAGCAACCAGCAGGGGACCCAAGCAGCCAGGAAGCCGGGAGAGGAGCAAGACCCCACGGGCCACTGGTGCTCCTGGAGCTGGCCCATGCTGCACCAGGGCCCCCGCGTCTCCCTGCCACACTGGGCGTGCCGGCAGGAGTGGCTGACAGCCCTCCAGAGCGACTAGGCCTCGCACACCGGCCAGCAGCTTTCCGGGGGCCGGAGCCCGCACGGTCGGCCCAGGGAAGGTGCAGAGGCCAGCGCGGTCACGGGGCCTGGGAGGAAGGCGGTTTCCCACCACGTGAGCCTTCTCGAAGACCCTGCAAGACTGCCTGCCGGATAGATACCGTGACCGATGAGGACGCCGGATCCCGCTCACCACTCCCAGCCTCCTGGCACAGTAGGTGCGTGGGCTCCCCACCCCACTTCCCCGGCCGGGCAGCAAGCTGCAGAGGCAGGGCCTGACCTCACACCCTGTGTGGCTCCACGGCCCGAGCCCCAAAAGGCCCTGCTGCTCCGCCCAGGCCACTGCGTGCCCCGCAGCCACCCCTGACGTGAGGACACCGCTCCGTTTTGCTACGAACACTTGGAACTGCGGCTCCGCGAATCCACTTGGCAGCCCTGACAACATAAGGAAAGCTGTACCTTCCCCAGTCCTTCCCGGCGGCCTGTGTGGTCCGGAGCAGCCGCGCTCCCGTGGCTGGTGTTCTGGAGGCCGTGGCTGCCTAGGACAGAGGGCTGGGCTTGTTAAGGGGAGGCGTTCCTGGAAACATGAGACTCACTCGTGCCCGGCAGTGAGCTTCAAAGAGGACACCAGCCCTTGCCCCGTCAGCCATGGGGCCCGCAAGGTTCGGATACTGCAGGCCTGACACCTCGGGCCCCTGCCTCTCTGCCCCGCTTACAGGTTCTTTTTTTTTTTTTTTTTTTTAAGATTTTATTTATTCATTTGAAAGAGCACAAGCAAGGGGAGCAGCAGGCGGAGGGAGAGGGAGAAGCAAGCTCCCCGATGAGCAGGGAGCCCGATGCGGGGCTCGATCCCAGGACCCCGGGATCGTGACCTGAGCCGAAGGCAGACGCTTAACCGACTGAGCCACCCAGGTGCCCCCGCTTACGGGTTCTTAACCGTGGGGCCCACCCTGTGAGCTCAGATTAGGAAGCCCATGCCGGCTCCATGGGAACAGTGGTATTCTCAGGTGTTCCCTCGACCTGCTGAATCGGACTCGCCAGGTGGAGCCCAGCACCCTGCATGGGGACAAGCCCTCTGTGATCCTGACAGAAAACTGACAACGGTTGACGTAGAGGGACGGGAAAGAACCTTCCCTCACTGGCCATCACACACCCCTTTTCAGGAGTGCGAAGCAGAGGGGCATGGAAAGCTAGAGGAGGAGGTCTGTGTCAGAAAGTGCTGGAGTCTGGCAGCAGTGACAGGCGTGCTCTTGGTCAGCAAGGGCAGAGGGGCCGGAGTGTCTGCATGGACTGCGGGTGAGGGCAGCCGACAGAGCCGGGCCCCGGGGCCAGCCGCAGTGCAGGTGCAGGAGGAGGTGGGCGCGACCATCCGGCCGCTCGACAGACTGCAGGGAAATTCTACGGGTCCTCACCTGAGGCCAGCTCACCCTGCGGGTGCGACGCACACACGGACGGAAGGGCGCCCTCGCTGCGGGGAGCTGGGCTTCCAGGGCTGAGACCGACCCCTCGCGGCCCCGCCCAGCCCCGCACCAGCCAGGCCACGTCCACACACGAAGCTCCGCATGGTCCAGAAGCCCCCAGCGTGCCCTTGGCTGGAGCCCCGGCTACTTCCCGTCCTGCTGCAGCTTCGACGAGCTCCGCAGTCCTGCAGACCGGGCCACCGGCTGCCTCCTCCCCAGGCTTTTCCCAGCAGAGATGAAACGAGGGGCCGTGATGTGGAGCCCCTTTGGGCAGCAGCTGAACTTACAGCAGGAAAATAAATATTTGCTCTTTGTGAGAGCCCTTATTCCAGTGACCCCATGACCCTGTCTCTGCACAAAATCTGGCCCTGGTCCCATTCTCAGGAGTGGGACTGGGTGAAGGGCAGCCCCTACGCCCTTATGTGCCCACAGTGGGTATGAGTTGGACTCCCCACAGCACTCACAGGAACATCCTCACTGCAGAGGCCTCCCCCCACAAAAAAAATGGAAGATCAAGTTTACGTCCTCCAGCACTCGCCACCACGTGCCTTGTTCCGGACAGCCTGTCCTGCGAAGACTGTCAGGTGTGGCAAGGACAGCTGCTTCCCCAAACGGGCTTGCAGATCTGAGAGGGGACGGGTGGGGGAGGGGAATGCCTTGCCTTGTGGGTCCCACTGGTCCCCACTCATGGTCTCCACCACCCTCCATCCGCTCCCGCCTGCTGGTCATTCTCCCTCCTCTGGTGGTAGACCCGGCACCCAGGGTGGGCTCCAGAGGAATCTGGGCCTCACGGCACCGTGCGGGCTGGCACGCGTGTCCAGCTCTTCCTTCAGCCTCAGTCAGGCTCCGCGTGGGCGGGCTTGCGTGTGCGGGCAGCCCTGTGGGAGCGGCGCCTCTGTGACGGATCCTTCACACCCCACTGTGGCCCACAGGCCACTCTGCACAAGCCGGGCACATGCCCTGGGTGACATCCCTTGTCTGCTAAGAACGAGCTTCACTTGCGAAGCATCCAGAAGTTACTGGGGATCCGTGTTCCAGCTGGGCGAAGCCCTGTTTGATGCAAAGTGGGTCACCAGAGTGGTTTTCACCTGGGGCTCTGAGCTGCTGGGTCCCGACAACAGCGGAGTAAGTGTGGCTCTCGCCAGGGGAGCCAGCGAAGGTAGTTCAAAACTCCCAGGCACTGAGTGAGGAAGGCTCAGAGGGTTAAAGGAGACCCCGCACCGTACGCACTTGAAAACCTCTCACCTAGGGGCAGGTATCCCAGCTGAAGGAGAGGTGCAGCCTTGCCCCGTCATGGGAACAGTGGGTTGGCCCAGCGGGTTGGCCCAGCACCTGGGCTGCCAACAGGGCCCAGGCTCGGGGTTCGAAGGCTGTAGACCTGCCAGTGAAAAAAGAAATCCCCAAGAAAACGGGCCCCAGACTCCCACCCGAGTATCGGTCGGGAAGGATCTGAATCCAGGGCCACTGGCTCCACAGCCCACATTATTTCTGCCAGACGAGGCAAGCTGCTCTGTTCCTGCCACTGTCCCGGGTCACCTGGGTCCTGCACCTGCAGGGTTGACCAGGAACAGCCTCAGGCACACTTGAGAGTAAGTGGTGTCAGTCTCTCTTGACCTCATTTGAGATTCTTGAGAATTCTGCGCACCTACCCCTGCTGCCATCACCACCTGACATTCATTTTAAGTGGAAATAGGTGTGAATTCATAGCCATTTGGCCTGGAGACTCGGATGCTGTCCCTCGAGATGCAGAGCCCCCTTGGCCAGGAGTTGTTCCCTGCACCCGCAGCTCCCCTGGGCCCTGGCCTTTGGACGGTGCGAGCTGGTGTGTTCTGGGATGCACGCCAGGCCAGCAGCCCCAGCACTGTGAAGTCTCAGGCCCACGTGAGGGGTGTAACCTTTCTACCTGTGTGCATGAAGAACAGCACCGCCCCGCCCCCGCCCCCGCTGCCCCTGGAGAAGCCCTGCCTCCAGCCGTCCCGGGGAGTGAGACCCACAGCTGTGCGTCCCCGTGCCAGTCACAGTGATGCTGGGAGGGGAAACCTAGGAGCTCCAGCCACCCTTGGGAGACTTAATGCCTGAAACGCAGATCCTGCCTGTCTGCTGGTTGCATGTCCCCTTTCTCTGAGGGCACCTAGAGCATTCTCCACGTCCTAGCTCTCTGCCCACTTGTTGTTCCCTGGTGTGGCAGGCGCTGGCCTTTCTCATGCCTTTGTATGAGCAGCCATAGGAAGCCCCCGGGGTGGGCCATTGAGGCAACATGAGGCAAAGCACAACACCCGGCCTTGGGGGCCTCCGGGAGGGAAGGAGGGCGGCAGGGCCGTGGCCGCAGTGGTCTCTCTGGTTGCTGAGCACTTTTCTCTCCTGCAGGAATGGTTTTCCAAAACAGACGGCAGCTCAGCTGATCCTGAAGGCCATCTCCAGTTACTTCGTGTCAACAATGTCCTCTTCCATCAAAACGGTGTATTTCGTGCTTTTTGACAGCGAGAGTATAGGCATCTACGTACAGGAAATGGCCAAGCTGGACGCCAACTAGGCTGAGGAACTACAGAGCCAGCCTGCACCGTGCCCCCGCCTCCAATCTGAAAGAAAGAAAGAAAAATCCCCTTCACTCCTGTTGGGAGGCGGGACCCTTTCATTTCCAATTTTGCTCATCTAGGGAAAATAAGGTTTTGGTTTCCAGTTTAATTGTTTTTGACCTTCTAAAATGTTTTTACGTTAGCACTGATAGTTGGCATTACTGTTGTTAAGCACTGTGTTCCAGACCGTGTCTGACTTTAGTGTAACCTAGGAGATTTTATAGTTTTATTTTAATGAAATCCTGCTTGACGCAGAACAGCGGGGAGAGCAGTGTCTTCTATGTGTGGCCGAATCCAGGAAGCCTGTTTTGTAACCGTGTGTCGTGGTGCTTTATTGTACACCCAGTGGCGTTCTTTTTACTATAATGTTTTTTTTTTTCCTCAAGAAGAAAAATCATGAATTTGCAGCAGACTTAATTTTTGTTTACTTTTTGTCTTAATGATGGATTTGAAAATGAAAGATTTAAAAGGCAGAACAGAATCTGTTGTCCTTAATTATATTTGCAATTTGGAATTTGTGTGAATTGATTTAGTAAAATGTTAAACTGCTGTTGTGACTGGCGTGTTTTAACTTACTGTGCCCTTGAGCCCTAGGTGGGCTCCTCTCATCACAGGATGTGGGGGGGGGCTGGGGCAGGGCAGCCGCCCACCCCCCACCCCCCTGAAACACCACCGGGCCACTGCTGCCTGGACACGGGCATCTTCAGTCCCTGATGGCTGGGAGGGGGGAGCTCATGTGAAGTCTCTCCTTCCATCCTTGTGACACCGGGCAAGGGTGTTCTCCCCATTTTGTGGATGAGGAAGCAGATCTACCGAAAGCCATGCGGGGGGCAAGCGGCAGACTAGTATTCGAGTCCAGGTCTTTAGACTCTGAGCCCAGCTCTCTCCGGCCATCTGCGACCCCCCACTCCCCCCGCCCGATGGATGTTCTCTCTGGCTCATGGATGGGCCCAGTGTCCCTGGGCCTCTGGCCAAATGGAGCTGCTGAAGCCTCAAGTCCTCCACCCGGGCTGTGTTGGGCCTTCTGTGCCTATAGGAAGGGTTCCTGCTGCCAAGAACATTCCAAGGGCAAGGTGCCGCCACCAAGGTTCCCAAGATGTGCTGCCAGCTTTCTCGAGGCTATGGGTGTTTAGTGACGTAGATGACAGCTGATCCTTGAACAACGTGGGGGTCAGGGGCGCCAACCCCCGCACAGTTGAAAATCCACGTACTTACGACTTCCCCAAACTTAACTACCAGTAACCTACTGTTGACTAGAAGCCTTGCTGATAACAGAGCCGATGAACATATTCTGTAAATTACATCTAGTATATATACTGTATTGCTACAATAAAGAAAGCTCGAGAAAAAAATGTAAGCAAAGGAGAGGGCAGAGAAACTACATTTATAGTACCGCACTGTATTTATCAAAAAAATCCTCACTTAAGTGGACCCGCATAGTTCAAACCCATCTTGGTCAAGGCTCAGCTGTAGTTAGAAAGATCCCAGCTAGACCAGAGGGGCTAAACTTTTTGTTACCTAAAATCAGTTAGCAAAAACACAGACATTATTTGCTTCAAAAGGTACTTTTGCCTTTATCTAAATTTGCCTACAACACACAGAAGACTATTTCTCTCTCTTTAAAAAGATGATTAACATAACATAAAAAAAAGAATAAAATAAAATTTAAAAAAAGACGTGCCTGCCTCTAAAACAGACTTTAACCAAGAGAAAATATGCAGCATACTGCATATCATGGATGGAGGTAAAGGATCATTTTTCCTTTCCAAACGGTGCCTAATGAAATCAAAATAGACATCCTGAGCCATCAAACAACCACGCTTTTCAATGAAAAGGCAACTACTGCTAACTGAAACCTGAAAGATGATTTGTGCCAAGTTTCTCCTAAAAGTAAGGTGTTATTAAAATCTTTACCTTTCTTCCCCAAGATCTCTACCGAGTCTGGATTTCCTACTTCTTGATGAGAATTTGGCAATAATAATAAGTTTATAGTTTATCGTGGTGTTTTCAAGAAGATGCATCTTTCAAGAAGATGTCATCACTTCCTAAGGAATACCTTCACACTGCTTGTGTGGACAAACCTTACTGTGCAGCCATTCACCCAAGAGCATTGATTCTGGAGGTAGAATCCGCAGTGTGCAGGGGGACGAGAAATAAGCAGGGCTAACAGGAGCTGGAAAGAGTGATCCTTTACTGTGTGCCAGGCACTGTCTTGAGCCCCATATGGGCATCATTCCATTCTGTCCTAGGGATAGTTCTGTGGGCAGTTCCTGTTATCAGAGCCATTTTACGGCTGAGAACACTGAGGCTGGGAGAGGTTAAGTAACCTGCCAGTGATCACGCTGCTCGTAAGGGACAACCAGATCCAAATGCAGAGATGCTGACCACTGCGATCCAGGGCTCACTCTAATCAGCAACTAAAGAGATTCCAGGTCACCGCGGTGGTATTTCTAACTGAAACACAGAAGGGAGCCAGGGCTAAAAAGCTTCTAGGTGAATTGCATTTCCTCAACTTTGCAGAAGGGACCGCAGAAGCAAATCCTGTGTTTAGCGGGGCTCCTCCACTAGATGGCGCCAAAAGGACTGGGAAGCAACTAGAGGAAGGGGGCCCGTTTCTGCTCTCCCTTCTGCATGCCCAAAAGAGTAAGTTGCATTTGTCAGGATTTGCGTGAATTATTTACCATAATCACCTAAATGTTTCTAAACTTTCACTAATCCAAAGTGCATCTCGCCCCTGAGATGTGGGCTCATTGAAGAAATTCTTTTCAGTGAAACAGAGGAAAGAGAGCCAGCCAAGTGCCTGGGATTCCCATCATGCCTAAACCACCCAGTTAGCTTTCAAAACCAGTACCAAAAATTGTTCTCTGATGTCAGCCTCATGTTTACAGGGAAAAAAGAAAACAGCTCATTACTTTAAAGAAAAGTTGGTGTAACTGCGAGGGAAACTTGAAAGGCACACTACGCTTCTACTCAAAAGACTGGTTGGCAGTTAGTGGAATTTGCCAAAAATGAAATTATTCTGCTACCTGGGGGCCATGTAGCCCTGCGATCTGTCTGGCACTAGGCAGACAACACCCCCCCCCCCTTCAACTTGTTTCTGAGTAGTCCTTGCCCTTGGCAGCTGGGCTCCGCCCTGCATAATCCAGACAATCCCCTCTGCCTCCTCCATCTGAGATCTCAGAGAGCTCCATAGCTCCAACTGGCACGAAGATGACAGTAATAACTACCGTGTGTGTACCCAACACACAATGGTCCTCTACATCCATTTCAGCTACTTCCCACAGCAACCCTGCGATGGTGGTAACACTATCCCCATTTTACAGATGAGAAAAGTACAACACACCCTTCTAGGTGAGGCGTATTCCCCCAAGTCATACAGCCCTCAGTGCTGGAGCTAGGATGTGAACCCAGCTGTCTGACTCTACAAAGCTCTCCCCACTCTATGGTATCTGAACCTCCAGAGGTGGCCTCTCCTTTGGCATGCACCCCCAAGTTTTGTTCCAGTTAGGCAGAGGCCTTCTTGCCTACTCACTGACAGGTCCTGTGTGGCCGGCCCTGGCAGCATAAACAGAACGTGTTCGAGGACAGATGAGCAGAAATATGTATTTAAAGCAATCTAGGGGCCAGCGAGATTTGCTGGGTATTTATTACGAATGAGCCCGCAAACTGAGGCCTCTTGCAAGGGCAGATTGGACAGTGCCTCTGTCCAGCAGAGTGGGAGACCCAGAGCCACGCTTGCTGGACGGGCAGGGACTCAGGAGAGAGCTCACTAGCTCCATGTGCAGGGAGTGTTCTGGGCTGCAAATGACCTAGACCTAGACCAGGACTCCCTAGGACAGGCCGTAATCTCCTAGGCCAAGAGAACAAGGGGATAGGTGGTAAGTGGCCAGACGACACATAGGCACGGCAGTCCCAGCCGGGGGGTGGCGGGGAGCCACAGGGTCTGCAGGGGCTGAGAAGCCCAGACCTGCACCCCACATGCAGCCAGGCCCGCCACGTCAGCCCAGGCCTCTGCTCCCCGGCCCTGGCCCTGGTATGTGGAGCTGTCTGTCCGTGCCTGTGTTCATCTGGCAGAATTCCTCCTTCCCGTTCAGGGTGAGGCGGATAGACTCGGTCACAGCTACAGTCTGCCCTGACGGAGAAAAGGCGAGCAGCGAAGACCAGAAAACAAGAGGCGAGCAGTCATTTCGGTCTGTCGTCCAGTCTCGCCAATCCCGGTCCCGTCCCGAGGCTGGAGGGCAGAAGACCCGACTGGGCCAGTTAGGGCTGGGGGCAGGCAGTGCTCAGGCAGTCTCCTTCCTTGTCACTCAGGCTGTGTCATCAGTGACCCTGGGCAGGCCGGGGGATGGCCTGGCTGCTTCCTTCACTAGCAACCACGGTGTTTAATTTTCCTGGCCCGGCGCCACCGGCCAACGTTATCTTGGGAGCTGGCTTTGGTGTGGCCCCGGAGGGATCCCCCTGAAAGCACTGGGGTGGGAGGAGGGTCCTGGGCCCATCCCTGGCTGAGAAGAAAGGGAAACGCTCAATGGCCAGGGGTGAGGCCCCCTTTTCTCTGGCATTTCTTCTATTTAGAACCTAACCCGTTGTGTTTGCTTCTGGGGGCGCCCTGATATCAAAATAATATCCCATGACCCTCCTGACAAGGAGGTAATAAAACTGCTCATTAATCCCGGCCCCCATCACTGCCCCGCCATGCTCCTTAGCAAAGGTGTGTAAATAGATTGGCCTTTCCCTGACCCCTAAAAATCAACTCAGCCGGGCCGCTTTGTCAAACTCCAGAACGAGAGTGCCTCACGAATGCTCTCTCCGTGGAAGGCACCATCCTCCTCACACCCTTCTCCCCCCGAAGGGACTCTCACCCCTCCACGCCCCTGACAGTACGCTCTCTCTCTCACACAGTCCCTCACACACATCTAGAAGATTCCAGAGCCCTGCGTCAGCAGAGTGCAGAAATGAAGGACGTGCAGAGAAACGTCCACCTTGAGCGGGAGCATCTGGACTTCTGTCTCCCACAAAGCTGCCGAAATTTCTCCTCAGAGAGGCCAGTTTTGCTGTGTAAATGCAGACCTTTGCTAACAACCCCCTTGAGTATGCTTCCGGGGGCACCCAGACTGCCCCCCAGGGTCTGCCGGGGCCCTGCCCCCACAGTCGAGGGGGAGCCATGATGGGCCCTGGTGCACATGCCGCAGGTAATGTAATCACAGGGGAGGAGGCCTCCGGTCGCCCTGAAAACTGTCCCAGCCTCACAAGGTGAAGGTCGCCGCCGTGGCTGTGGGCTTTTTTTTTTTTTTAAAGGTTTTATTTATTTGACAGAGAGAGACACAGCGAGAGAGGGAACACAAGCAGGGGGAGTGGGAGAGGGAGAAGCAGGCTTCCTATGGAGCAGGGAGCCCGATGCGGGGCTCGATTCCAGGACCTGGGATCATGACCTGAGCCGAAGGCAGACGTTTAACGACTGAGCCACCCAGGCGCCCCGTGGCTGTGGGCTTCTGACCACACTTTACTGAGGGCAGAAAGCTCAGAGTCCCAGAACGACACCCTCCAAATCTT